AATTTCATTTGGTATAGATCTTTATATCTCTGTCTAACCTACCTATTGAACATCCACTAATTTTATTTTAACCAGTTTTTCTTTCAGTGAAATGATCATTATATTTCTTGTATTCCCATTACTTACTTACTTACGCCTATTACTCCTAATGGAACATAGGCCGCCGACCAGCATTCTCCAACCCACTCTGTCCTGGGCCGTCTTTTCTCGTTTCATCCAATTCTTGTCCATTTTTCTCATGTCTGCCTCAATTTCCCGACAAAATGTGTTCTTTGGTCTTCCGATTCTCTTTTGGCATTAAGGATTCTAAGTGATGGCTTACCTTGTGACACAGTTGGGTGCTTTCTTCAATGTGTGTTCTATTCACTTCCAACGGTTATTCCTGATTTCTCCCTTCGAAGTATTTTATGTAGACAACTGTTAATAAACACTTGTATCTTCTGGATGATGGCTTTCGTAGTCCTCCAAGTTTCCATTTCATACAATAGAAATGTCTTGACATTTGTATTGAGAATTCTGACTTTGGTGTTCTTCATTTGTAAATATGCTGCTCTTGCTTTTCCGATCCGCGCATTCACATCCGCATCAGATCCACCGTGTACATCGATGATGCTACCCAAATATGTAAAGGTTTTTTCCTCTTCCAAATCTTCTTCGTCAATTATGATTGGATTGGTGGATGTTGTGTTGTATCTGAGAATCTTGCTTTTTCCTTTGTGTATATTGAGACCTAGTGCGGCTGCTGCTACACTGTTCGTCTTCTCCTGCATTTGTTGTTGCGTTTGCGATAGAAGAGCCAGATCATATATTCCCATAGTTCATATTATATAGTTATAAATTCTTTAAACATTTGTATATATGAACAATGAATAAACTACTTTCTAAATAGAACTTCTTATTGACAACTGTTTATTCTTTCATATTGAATATCATAGTTTATGTTTTGTGGATATGAAATGTGGTCAGTAAAGATAAAATTAACTTACTAATATTTTGATCATAGATGTGTTCTAGGCATTTCTCGCATATCGTGGAATCATCATGACCTCAAATGCTCTGGTAAGGTCGAGAGTGGGGAGAGTCTACTCTCCTTCTTGAAATGCACTTACATGGCCATGTTTATATAACCACTGTCAGGGAAGTTCTACTCACTACCTTCTCGCATCGGGGATGTTGTTCACGAAATTGAAATGACGAAAAACGAATGTTTAGTGCTTTAACTGGGTTATTGTATATGGAGGCTTCACCTAGGGAAGTTGAAAATACCCTGATTCCAAACCACTGGTGTATATGGGCTATAGGATCTTGAGGAAACAAAAGATGTATGAACCTATTGTTGGTGATCAGCTACCTTGTGACTGCATCTCTTAACGTTGCCTCACTGTCTTGTGTATTTGACCTCTAGGTCGAAAAGAAAACCACATGCTTCAGTTTGGACGTCCAAGCAGTGTTCCATCTCTCACACAAATCGAATGATAAAGTGTGATGCATATGTATTTGGTGCCTCCCTGTATCAATGTTCATATGTTTAAATAAATGCTGAACTTAAATACAGGGTAGTAGGGAAATATGGCAAATCGATTAATAAGACTGTGTATCTCTATCGACTGAGCTTATTGGGATATATATCATGTAAGCCTGATAACCGCCTACATCGAAGCTTAGCGTTATTTCGGGAAAAAGTAGTTTGGAAGATAACTAAGGACGAAAAATCTAAGACATGGGACCAGTTCATGAAATCATTGACTGTTGACCTAAGCCAGTTGGTTAGTACAGTCTACTTAGTCGGAATCCATACGATAACCATAGATGTTAATGACACAGGTATTCATTTCTTTGTCTTCCCCTTCAAATCTTGAGCTTTAAAGTTATCTTATACTTTTTTTATTTGACGAATTCATTCCTACTTCTCGAATCATATTCTCCAGCCCTTATCTTTCCTACTACCACTGATACTTTTACTGACGATTCTACTACTTAAAATAATCTTTATAATTGGTATGTAAACCGATTTCTCCCAGGTCTATCGACTACTTACAAGTAGAAGAATCGTTCTTTTAATTGTTATTACAATTTCTTAATTCACTTTTAACATTTACATATTTCTTTCTATAATTAAGTATTCCTGATTAATATATTAATCAATCCGACAAGATAATGAAAATAAGTGAAGAGGGATAAACACTGAAACGATTAGATTGCACATATAAACACACATCAGAATCAAATTTCATCAATCCGACTAGTTATAATTATTGTTTCAACTGTAACTTGAGTGCTGTTAGAGCTATAAGGGCTGTTATCATTTCTCGGTTGCCCACACCGTGAAAGGGTTCTTCTAGAGGTACCTGAAAAGGAAATCGGGTTAGGGGTGGTCTTAATTGCCTGAGAGTGTGACCGCAGTGCCCAAGGGATAACTGCTTGAGGTCGGTCGTGTTAGCTCCGTAATTATCGGAGCCTTACTGCCGGAGATAGAAGTCCGTGGAATAAGGCGAGATGTGCACTTTTAGGGTCGACCTTTTCTAACCCCCCCTGTGGGAAGACAGCATCGCTGTTCTGCTGGTTGTCTGAAGGAAACCCCTTACTGCTGTCACACCTCTGTACAGTTAGCAATGCGACTTCACCTTCGGACGTCGGGTTCTGTCAACTGTATATTTCATCAAAATAAAGCCTTGTTGAATAATAGGCGGATTGATCAAATTAAGTAAACTTAGTCGGTTAAGGTGAAGGTGAATCGGAACACTTTGAACACCTTGAATTAATCAATGAGACGTAATTTCTGCATTAAACGATCCATTTATTGGAATAGGTATTATTCTCCAGTGTTTTCAGAAAAGTTATCATTTTAAATTTATGCTATATAAACATGGTGTTGATTAATTTCGGCCGACCATATTGTAACAAGATATCGGATTAATTCTATTACTCGGATGCTAAGCGTAGTTTACAATACACAAATGGAAAATTGTTTAATTAGGTTACTAATTTTCATCGACCAAAGTGTTTGAGAGATGTGATATGCATGTTTACAGATACGAAATTTTGACTAGAATCCAGGGTCAGTCAGTCAGTAACAACGTGGAACTTCGTACGTACGTTCATCAGCTGTTAAAGTTGCCATACCACATTAGCACAGAGATTCAGTTACCGATTTAAATCCCGTAGTGGAAGAGGTAGTGGAAATATAAGTAGTAATAGGAAATATTAGGATTTGATGATGCTATTTATGGATTATAATACAGTGAAATAAATTTGGAAAGAGAACGAGTAAAGGAAAATGAAGAATTCAGAAGATTTTGAGATGGCGGAGAAGATTTGTAGCACAGGTGGATGATTTTGATTGAGTTAGATTTTGGGAGAACACAAACAGTGGATGCATCTGCGTCACTGCAAACGATTTTGAGCCATGTCATTCAAGATCTCTAACCATCGGTTGTTATCATCACACGGACACTCCGAACCAGGTAGTCTACACCTACCAACATGGCTCAGTCCACTTGTCAGTGACTTCATCGATTTGTGCCATGTTTTGGTCTGGCCTCCCCCTAGATTTCTTCCAACTTACTCCTACACCATCAAACATCGCGCGTCTGGGCAGTCGGTGGTCGGGCATGCGCAACACATGTCCCAGTCATCTTAACTGATTAAGTTTCACTACTTCATCAATTGATTTGCCATCCTTAACTAGTACCCATTTCCTAACAACTGACTTACTTACTCGGTGGTCCCAGGATACACGAGCAATTCTTTGAAGACAGCTATGATCAAATAATAGTAACCTACGAATATCCTCTACTCTTACTGGCCATGTTTCACTGCCATAGAGTAGGACGGAACGAACTGCTGCGCAGTAAGTTGAACAAATCGAGACATGTTATCATTTTATGCTGTTAGTGATTGTTGATATGTAATGTGTTGATAGGTACGAACTTCCTCCTTGATGTGTCTATTATGACTTTATTCCATGACTGAAGATATAAGGTGACTATGGAGAAAGTCGATGTTACTTACACATCCATTATTAATCATCTTTTGAACCTCTACTTACTTATTATTTACTTACGTTTGTTACTCCCAATAGAGCATAGGCCGCCGACCAGTGTTCTCCAACCCACTCTTTCCGGGGCTTTCTTTCCAGTTTTGTCCAATTTTTATTCATTTTTCTCATGTCTGTCTCAATTTCTTGGCGTAATGTGTTCTTTGGTCTTCTTCTTTTCCTTTGGCCTCGAGGATTCCATGTGAGGACTTGCCTTGTGACGTAGTTCGGTGCTTTCCTCAATATGTTTCCTATCCACCTACAACGCTTCTTCCAGATTTTTTCTATCAATGGAATCTGGTTTGTTTTCTCCCACAGTAGGTTGTTGTTGATAGTGTCTGGCCAACGGATCCGAAGTATTTTGCTTAGTCAACTGTTAATAAACCTTTGTATCTTGTGATTGATGGCTTTCATAGTTCTCCAAGTTTCCACCCCATACAGTAGAACTGTCTTGACATTTGTATTGAAAATTCTGACTTTGGTGTTGGTTGCCAATTGTTTTGAGTTCCAGATGTTCTTCAATTATTATTATTATTATTATTATTATTATTACTATTATTATTATTATTATTATTATTATTATTATTATTATTATTATTATTACTGTTCTGTACTTTTTTACAAACCAATATGTTTTGCTTTTAATATTATTTATGTGATTATTTTGAATTCTTTACCTATCATCTTCTAAATTTCATCTCTGTTGCTATGCTGATATAAAGTGGGGCGTTTTGTAGTGATGTGTATTTGTGCTACGTTGTTTATAAGTGACTTACCTACTGACGCTTTGAAATATATATGTTTAGTAAATAGTGAAGATTTTGATTCTTCTTTGTCGCTCCCGCGGGTATGTATCCTTCACACACACATATACACAACACCACTGACTCAGTTAGAGAGTAACTTTCGAAATTTCATTTGATTCTTTAGTTTTATCTATTCATTTTGGATTTTCTGCTTTCAGACATCAAATATTCGTCATCAGTTATGCACGTCTTTTAGCTGCTCAATTGTCGATCCAAGTACCACAGTCTTGTTTCTCCTCTTCAACTTCTTCATCAGATTTCTTCAGTCGTTTGAATTATGGATCGACTGAACTAGTTAATTATCTTCAAGAAGTATTTGTAAACTATATTCCACCAATATTTACTCCATCTAATAAACACATTGTCATTGATGAGAATGAAATGAAACCTCAGCAAATGACCACATCTACTTCTCCATCAAACTTGTCATTACCTAAAGATAATGATCCGACTGTAACATCAATGAAAAAAATTATCTTCAATAATCCTTCTCTCAATGATGATGATGATGATGATTTGACAATGAAAGAAATTTGTCTAAATGAATCATTTTTGAAAATGTGTACAAATATATTGGAGAGTTTAAGTAAACCAGAGAAGTTTAAAGGTATGTCCTAATTTGTTCTTTAACTTTCTATCTGTTTTAAAACAATTTCTTTATAGTCAGTCAGCTACAACGTGAGACCAGGCACATGTATATGCATCATCCAAGTTGCCATACCTCATTAGCACCGAATTCATAGAAGTAGTTAATTCAATGGTGGTAATATATAAAATGTATTTTCCATAATGGACAGCAGTGAAATCGACAATGGTGCTTTTCAGCTTATTTACAACTCTTTATTTGAATGTAGTTGTATAGAGAGTGAAGTAGTTGAGTGTGTCGACCGCTTCACTTATCTTGGAAGTCTCATCAGCCCTTGCGGTCTGGTGTGTGACAAAATCTCAGCACGGATACAGAAGGCTCGACTAGCTTTTTCCAACTTGCGTCATTAATGGCGTAGGTGAGATATCCGTCTATCAACCAAAGGACGTGTTTACTGTACAACAGTTCGTCCCGTCCTATTCTATGACAGTGAAACATGGTCGGCACGAGTAGAGGACATTCGTAGGTTTCTAGTATTTGATCATACGTGTCATCAAAGAATTGCTCGTGTATCCTGGGACCACCGGGTAAGTAATGCAGTTGTTAGGAAACGGGTACTAGTTAAGGATGGCAAATCAATTGATGAAGTAGTGAAACTTAGTCAGTTGAGATGGCTGGGACATGTGTTGCGCATGCCCGACCACCGACTGCCCAGACGCGCGATGTTTGATGGTGTAGGAGTAAGTTGGAAGAAATCTAGGGGGAGGCCAGACCAAAACATGGCACAAATCGATGAAGTCACTGACAAGTGGACTGCGTCATGTTTCTAGGTGTAGACTACCTGGTTCGGGGTGTCCGCGTGATGATAGCAACCGATGGTTAGAGATCTTGAATGACATGGTTTAAAATCGTTTGCAGTGACGCAGATGCATCCACTGTTTGTGTTCTCCCAAATTCTAATCTTCTGAATTCTTCATTTTTCTTTACTCGTTCTCTTTCCAAATTTATTTCACTGTATTATACTCCTTGAATAACATCTTCAAACCCTAATATTCCCGATTACTGCTTATACTTTTACTATCTCTACCACTATGAGATTTGAATCGACAATTGTATCTGTGTGGTAATGTGGTATGGCAACTCGAACTGCTGATGAACGTACGTTCGAATTCTACGTTGTTACTGACTGATATTTGAGTGTACTGGTATCCCAGTATCCATAAATCTCAGTGTGAACATTAATGTAAAGACATCCAGGTAAATCTACTCGATATCTCGTGAGTAGGAATAAACGCCTGAATAAGATTCTGTAGTTAGCTAATATTCAAAATATAATTTGTCTATAGCTATAAGCCATATTGAGTCGCTCATTGAATGAATAAGTACTTACGCCTGTTACTCCCGACCAGCATTCTCCCCATTTACTATGTTCTGGGATTGTATCTCTTCATTTCTGCAGCCATTCAGAAGACTCTCCCGATCTCCCACATTGTACAAACATTCCATGTACCTAAATTAATGGCTGATCTGGTTGTCAGCAGGGCCATCAATCTCGTGACTTCCGAAAGAAATCCGCTTTCACCATGAGGCATCATAACTCTTCTAAATGAAGACCTTCTAACTCATAGAGCAGAGTTTAAATGGTTTGAATGATTTTTTCTGGTTAGCGTTTTTTAGCGAGTTGGTTTTCTATGAGATGGGGTCGCTAACCCCATTCTTAACCCTCCTCTTTTATCCGGGATTGGGGTCGGCACTAGCCCTAGATGGGCTTCAGGCGGAGTTGAATGAATATTTACATCTGCCAAAAAAATAATAGCCAAATTTAATCTTGAATATCAACAATGGAGAAATGTAAACACTTGTAATTGACTATGAATTACTTTAAACTGTTTTTGTGTTCATGAGTGTGAAGCGGTGTCCCATTAATTATAAGCTATTTGATTTTCAACACTATGAGTTTGTAATTTACAACTGCGGCCCAACCTAATTCAGTTTAAGCATTCGGGCAGTATCACTAACTCATCTATGATGATGACAATTAGGATAATTAAATTCTCTGAATCTCCAGTTATAAAGTGTAATCATTTTGTTAAGCTATTCGACTTTGTATAACGCTTGATCCATAATGTTCAAAATTTAATCAACATGAATTACCGTTTTGCTTAAGCTATGTAGTCAATAGCGTGTGTATGCACTCTCTCTCTATAAGTTGCATCCTAATCATTAAGGTCACTTGGTATTGTTTAACTTGTATCTTCCCATTGTTATTTAGGACTGCAATTTATTAGTCTCATGTTGGCATATATGCATCCTGTACGGATTGTCTCATCAACTCTGGGATGCAGATATATCCAGCTGACGAGTACCAAATAGGATGAAATGCGCGTCAAATTGGATTCCACTGCTAGCCACTATCCGTCTTTGCTTAAAAAGCTTGTGACTTAAGGCTATATCGAAGCAATTCATACAGGATGCATTCACATAAACCAATAAAAGACTGATCAATCGCAGTCTTAAATAACAATGGGAAGATTCAAGTAAAACAACACCAATTGAATTTACAAACTTCACCCCATTGCACAAACAGATGTCTATCAGGACTCAGTAGCTAAATAGATAACGCAATGGCGTTTAAAGCGAACAGTACTGTATTCGAGTCCCAGAGTGAACATCAACTCTAGAATGCAAATATATCCAGCTGACGAGTCTCAAATAAGATGAAACGCGAGTCCTGGATTCCACTGCTAGCCATTGTCCATCTTTAATCATTAAGACTTACAATTATGCAAATGTTACCATGTATACAGATCCCATAAAATTCAATAATTCATGCTCATCAATTAGTATCTATGCCGAATAATTTGTATCCATAAATTCCTATCGAAAACTTATTTGTTATTTTTTTTTGTGGTAAACAAATTGAAATACAAATTCTTTTTATTATAAATTATTATCAAGAGTAGTGTTTGTTTTAGTTTTGTATGTATACGTGTGTGTGTGTGCGTGTGTGTGTGTGGGAGAAAATTGAATTCTTAGTTAAAACACGAAAAGATATTGTATCATAAAAATGGGGGGGGGTAAATATTATATTACACATGTGTATACATACACACATATGGATATGGATATGGATAGACATACAGACAATTGGCATGTTTAAACAATTTTTCCAGATGACCTGGTGAAAAAAAAATGTAACTGTTACTGTTTATCATTAAAAACATCAAAGATATAATTTGTATTGTATTTTGTAAATTTTCCTCTGTACTTGTACATGTTCAATGATTAAAGATGACTGACTTTCTGTTCATATTCAGTGTTTACTTTTGTTTGAAAAATCTTTACATTCAAATTAGTTTCTGATAGGTCCTGGTTTCTATTCTCGCGGGGAGCGGGATCGTGGATACGCACTGCTGAGGAGTCCCATACTAGGGTGAAACGGTCGTCCAATGCTTCCAGGTTTTTCATGGGGATCTAGCTTCAATTAACCCATGATTTCAACCATTGAAATTGTTAAAATCTCCACAAAACCCCTTCTTATTTATTTATTGGTTAGTTATTATTAGAATGGAAGCTTGTGGAGATTGTAATGATTTTAATAGTTGAATTCATTAGTCGATATAAGTTAGGCGACCAATGAAAACCTGGAAGTACTGAACGACCATTTCGTCTTAGCATTGAACTCCTCAACAGTATACATCCACGATATTGCACGCGAGACTCGAACCCGTGGCCTTCGATCTCTTGCGTGAACGCTTATTCTCTTGACCAGTGTTAATGTCTAACTTCAATCGATCCATGAATGGTTGCGGAACTATTCATCCATTGTCTGAGTTAGATACCTGTCTTATATCAGACACGGATTGAACTCGACTTGTTATGCCTTCTCACTTAAACTCCAGGAAATCCATCTTCAAGTCCCATACTAGGCCGAAACAGCTATCCAATGCTTTCAGGTTTTCAATGGTGGTCTAACTTACATAGACTCATAAATTCAAGTATTGGTTAATTACCAATTTATAAAACTAATACCTGTAAATCACTTCTGTTAAACCATTGACTGTTGAATTGAAACGTGTTAAGGTAGAGTGGACTTGAGAATTTCTTTTGTGATTAGACGACTTTTTTTTAATCTATATTCCATTCATACTTGATTTTGTCATTGATATCCTTCTAGACTTAACTATTTCATAATCTAACTTTTCTAAAGTTTATTCCTCTACCTAGAGACTGTCTTTTTTAGTCCACCTGACAATTACATGTTGAATAAAAATGACTGAAATGTCTAGAATACGTTTCTCTCTACCCTTAATACTAAATGTATCTTCAAGACTTGTCTTTGTTAATATCTAACCTGATTATAGGAACTAGGAAACAATTGAGCGTGTTAATTATTTTACTTACACTAACAGTATTTTATCAGCCTATGTGGCATCAGTGCTTAAAGACACTAACTTCTGGTTTGAGCCATGTTGGTAGATGCAGACTACTTGGTTGGGGTCTGCTCGACTATCGTAACCAATAGTTGGAGACTCTTGGTGACATGACTCAGAATCGATCACAATGGCGTCGGTGTATACACTCTCTGTCTTCCTTTAAACTATGAGATTAAAATTACCATGTATGTTTCTTTCTACGAACTAATTTATTCTTCCTGTACCATATCCTTATACACAATATTTCTTTTATACATTACTACCATTAAACTGACTACCTCTATGAATCCGGTGTTCATCTTGCTGTGGTAACGAGGTATGGCAACTTGAACCGATGCATATATGTGCCTAGTCCTACGTTGCAGCTGACTGACTGAGCCTACGTGATTTGGTGTGTGATGAAAACGGCATATGTACATAAAAGCTCATTTGTCTCTGAAACATAGCTTCTGAAGTTTTTAGACATATACTGATCTCTAGTGTTGAATCAAAAACGTCTTTGAAGTATTGGTCTTATGTGATGTAATACTTTTATGGCGTAATCAGTACAAGAATAATATAGTCTGTTGTTTTCCACAATTCTCT